GACCCCTGCACTCCAGTCTGGGTGACAGAGTGAGACTCCAACTCAAAAAAAAAAAAAAAAGAACACTTGTCAGGCTGGGCTCGGTGCCTCAGCCTATAATCCTAGCACTTTGGGAGGCTGAGGCGAGTGGATTCCCTGAGCCCGTAGGTTCGAGACCCGCCTGGGCAACTTGGCCAGACCTCATCTCTACAATAAATCAAAAATTAGCCGGATGTGGTAGCACGTGCCTGTAGTTCCCACTACTTGGAAGGATGAGACCAAAGTATTGCTGGAGCCCGGCAGGTAGATGCTGGGATGGCCGTGAGCGTGCCATTGCACTCCAGTCTGGGTAACGGAGTGAGACTCCAACTCAAAAAAAAAGAGAGAACACTTGTCAGGCTGGGTGTGGTGGCTCATGCCAGTAATCTCAGCACTTTGGGAGGCCAAGGATAGAGGATTGTTTGAGTCCAGGAGTTCAAGACCAGCCAGGGCAACATAGTGAAGCCTCCCTTGTCTCTGCATACAATAAAAAAATTAGTTGGGCATGGTGACACATGCCTGTAGTCCCAGCTACTTGGGAGGCTGAGATGGAAGGATTGCCTGAGCCCAGGAGGTGGAGGCTGCAATGAGCTGTGATAATGCCACTGCACTTCAACCTGGGTGACAGAGTGGAAACCCTGATTCAAAAAAAAAAGAGGATTCGTGAATGGATTTAGGGCCCACCCTAAATCCAGGATGGTCTCATCTTGAGGTCCTTAACTTATTTATATCTGCAAAGACCCTTTTTCCAAATAAGGTAACATCCTCAGGTTCTAGGGGTTAGGACTTGGCCTGTCTTTGTGGGGCTACCATTCAATTCACTACACCATCCTTGGAAATACCAGAAAATTCTCCTGTCTCATGTTCCTTGGTGCCTAGAGGCAGTGACAGATCCTATTTTTATTCAACAATCCCTTGTGGTCACCTTATACTCTGCCCACATCTATATAAGTAGTACTTCCATTAATCCCTCTTTGATCTATTCCACTTGGGGCTTCCATCTGTTTTTCTTTGGGAGTCTACCTGGAACACCAGTGGAAAAGTTGCACAACAGGCCAGAGGCTTAAAAAGAATTTACCCCCAGATGTTGGGGAGAATGACAAGAAACAACTTTCACAAAAGTTTCACAGAAGTGAAGATCCAATGAAGGAGACTAATTTGTAAATATGTATGGTTAATAAATTAAGAGGCCGGGCGCCGTGGCTCATGCCTGTAATCCCAGCACTTTGGGAGGCCAAGGCGAGAGGACTGCCTGAGCCCATTGGTTCGAGACCAGCCTGAGCAACTTATCAAGATCTCAT